GTGGGCACCAGAATTAGTTATTCTTCATGGTTAAGTTAAGCAATCTGTGCTACCCTGAAAAGTTAAAAAAATTCAGGTATTTTTTAAGAAAAAAAATTCCCCCCAAAAAACAAAGATAAACTAAATAAAGACCGCACCTAATTTTTATTTGGGGGTGGGGGGTTCTAGTTACTCAGATGAGGTTCTTCTGCTACAACATGGACTTTAAACAAAGGTAACCCATTGATTACCTTGATTAAGATCCAGCACTGAATCCATAAAACATTTCATCATGGCTCTATTTGCTATGTGTGGCGTAATTCATCAGACCATATTACCTTGACTTATGTGACACAACCTGAAAACTGGACTAGAGGCTCCTCATTTTGTAAGATAGAAGTGAACTGTAAATGAATTAAACAAATAACTGATATCATAGATTTAAATTTATTACAAATGATCTGTACCGCCTTGAAATTCTGGTATTTTGAAAGAAAAAAGCCCCCCCACCCAAAAAAAAACAAAGATAAAGTTTTTTTGTGCTAAATAAAGGCCACCGCACCTTTACAAATGCAGAGAATCCATGATCTTGTTGTTGCTCTCACCACAGATAAACCAACAACAATTTGAATACCAACAAGCTGATCAAACATATATGTCTGTGGGGGAAATGTACAACAAGAAGGCAGGTCTACTTACAGTGGAGCTCCATCAGCCAGGGAAGTCAGAGAGGCAAAGGCCAGAGAGGCCAGCAGACACAGCTGAGTCTTACTCATCCTCCAACTTGATGCTGTTCTGCTGCCAGTGTAGGCTGTTGCTCTGCAGCTCCCTCCTTTTATCCTTGCATCTCGCTGCCCCTTCACCTCAATACTGTTTCATGTGTCCCCCTCCCCAAGCTTTTGGTTTGTGTAAACTGATCGGTACATGATTTACCAGCAGTAGTTGAGAAACTACCGTTTCTGCTAAATGTTATCAGTGCTCTGAAGAAAAATAAACACTAGAATCTCAATAAGAGTTGACATGTTTGACTAATTTCTAAACTTGCAGTTGAATAAAGTTTATCACTGAGTAACAGAATAATTTCTGATTGATATTTTATAATATAGCATTTGTTTCCTCTTGGTCTTTTTTCATATTCCAGTTCTTCTGAGTTTGCTGAATCAGTGTATTCACACATAATCAAACATCTTCAACATGCATCAGTGGGGTTAAAGTCTGGTTGTGTAATTTCTGGGTATTATGCCATAGACAACTTTCTGAAGTTTTGTCAACTGGGAATTTTGCCCAGTGACAATCTGATTTAAATTCAGTAACTCTATTCTGTGATTTCAACATTTCTGCTTTATTTCTTGATTAATGTACTGTAATTGCATACATTTTAAAATATTCAACTCATTCTGTCTTATTGGATTTGTTTATCTGAATGGATGTTGCAAATACATCTGCAAATCATTGAATGTCTGAAGAACGATGTTTCTAAATGATGGATCTCATTGTTTGCTAATTATACCAAAATATTTTTCCCATTTAATGATCAGCAGCTTAGCCTCCAAGTGCCTCAGGTGCATGGAAATATTTACGGACTTGTACCATTATTATTATCAGTGTACATGGTATTGAAAACAACTTAGAATGATATATTTGGACATTTAATCTTTCTATCAGTGTTACACAGTAAAAACAAAAATATAAAGTTGAACATATTGATTCAAATGTACTTATTGCTTGGTGTTTTTAGGACAGAGTTTGTAAAATAAAGATAAAAAAACAACCACATGCTGTGTAATCAATCAGTTACACTCAGATTCCCAGAGATTCATTTATACATTTTCTATGATAAATTTTCCTACACCATTATGTTCATTACTAATTAACACTCACCATCATGGACAGTGGTATTTCACTACCACTAAGCAAACAAACATAAGCTCTAATGCAATAACTTAATTTACTGAAAAGGGTTTCCATCCCCAAAGTTACCTTCCAGGGTAACTGAACATTATGCTGCAGGTTTGTGTCTAAGAAAGGTCTGATATGCACTGGTATTAGTTATAACCCTTCTGTCTCAGGAGGAGTTGCATTGTTTAATAGCAAGTTACTGCCCCCTACTGTAAAAAAGGCAACGTCTATGTCTGGTTGTAAGTATCCTGTGAGTATCCTGCCAAAGGTCAGAACTTTGGGGTCCATTTTACATTCCTGTTACAATGAGTTTCAGGGGAAACAAGGACAAAACATCCTTAGAAACATTCAGGCCTCCAGCAGGTGCATATTTCATCATTTTGCATCGGGTACTACTGCAGCATCTTCTCCACTGGCTGTCAGCATACATACAGTACAACAGCAACACCTGTCCTTTGTGAGATGAAATCTAAATAAAACTTAACGGATTACACAATATTATAATGCTGTCACAGGAGGGACCAAAAACTATATTTTCATCTCCTTTACAATAATTTTATATATCCTTTTACTTATCAATTGTTTTATTTGCACAAGTGGTTTATCCTCACATTCATATTAAGCGGCATGTTTCTGCTATGCAGTAATGAGACACTCTCCTGTTTCATCTCGTGCTCCTTCAGAATCCAGTTAAATTACAGTTCATTAAATAGAAACAGGAATATAAATAGGGTTCACTAGCATCTTATCATATCTGAATCCAGTTCCAAATTTGATTATTAAATACAAATCCTTTTGAATCCCTTATCAGATCTGATTCAGACATTTGTTAAATCAAAAACTTTATTTCACTTAGTAATGCAACAAAACAAACTGTTTTGTTTAACAAAAGATGTAATGTTTCAGAATCTCCCACTCCAACAGTCCATGATCCATGGTCAACAGTCACTGTGGACCTACAGGCAAGGCTGAAGACAGTAATCTGGCTTTACATTTTGTTGCTACACCTTAACAGGTAATTTCCTATTTTTCCATTTAAAGGACTAAGTCTGAGCTCTGATTTCTTATCCTTTAAGAACACTTATACAGGATATTAATTTAGCTTGAGAGGTACATTCTAATACACTCTCCACCAATGACAAAAAAAATAATTTACAAAGACAAAATAGCATCTCTGTAACTAGGGGAGAAACTTTGACAATATGTTTTTGCTCAAATTTGTTTTCAGAATGACTCGTTCTTACATTCTCTGATAAGCTCAAATTCAGCCTGGGGCAGCCTTCCTGTGTGTTTGTTCTGCATGCCAGAAGCACTAATGTTTGTACATGAACAAAGTTTGTTTGATTAGTGCTGAAAATGGGCCACGCCAGAAAGCAGCTGACGAACAACAGCCTGACTAAACTCCCACAAGGCCTTTTCGCTCTAATTATTAAACCTATGACTTCATGATACGATCCGAGTGTCTGATGGTTTGTGTTTCTCAAGGCAAACACAATCAGTCCAAATGTACTGAGCTCCGCTGCTTTTGTTATTACAAATAAATATATAAAAGAGAACAAGTAAATTTTTAAGCTGGACCATTTCATGGTAAAGAAAGGAGTCAGAGGGACAGAGATAAGCAGCTGTTTCTGATTGGCGCAGATGGAGCACGTGACCGGGCAGGTGAGTAGGAGAAAATAGTTTCAGTTATGCCGTAAAACGAGGATCCCTGACTGGTGGACTGTGAGTTTTGCTGGTTTCACGGAACATGTTGCTTTGAACCAGGCGTCAAACCGCCGCACGTCGGCCGTCTCACCTGGACCCTCAACAACCGGCAGGTAACCACTGAACAGCCTGTATCCCGTCTAAACAAAACGGCAGGCAGCCTACCAGGTGAGCTCCAACAGAAACAGCTTCGAGCGTCTTCATGAACAAGTCTCCAGTCACAGTGTAATTTCCAGACCTACCAGCGGTTTCACCTGTCACTTCACAGCAGCAGCAAGTTCACCTGAGCCGGTTAGACAGGAGCAGCAGGACCCGTAGCATTCCGCCATGCGCACACACACACATCCGCCTGTGGCAATACTAAACTTTGTGTGTGTATTGGTGTAATTATTTTATAGAGGATCAGGTGGAAATTAGAAAAAGGCATAGGTGAACACAATTTACTGGAGCTGCAGTAACAGAAGAACCTGTATTTGTGGTGAGTAAAGACATTTACGGTGGGAGTTTTTTTAATCTCCCGATTCATCATAGATGTTTTGTTTTCAGAGCTAATTCTGTGGTTTTGGTTGTTACATTACATGTTATATCTAATTTACGGATACATGTTAATTTATAGACTTGTATATACATTTATCCCAGTTTATTATGATAAAGGTTTTCCTGTGCAATGCAGCCACTGTAATGGTCTGCTGTATTTGAATTAAGCTCCATTTTAATCTGAACAGTTTAATGCACACCTAAGAGATTATTTTCCACTTATTTATATGTTCATTCATAGTTTCTCAAATGTTTTGTCTATTAAATGACATTAAAATAAACGAAAATGACAACAAAAGAAAAGCAACAAATCCTTAGTGTTTCAAATGACTTATTAGAATGAATTTCTGTGGCTCTAATTGTTTCATCTCATATTTTTATTCACTTATTTAGAGCTGTGTGATCAACATAGATAATGCTGTGAAGGTTATTGTTGACCTTTTGGTAAATACACTCTATGAGCAGAGCATCCTGAGCATCCTAATGTAATCCAGTTCAACAGCCCTGCTTTAGATGCTGTCTTTTGTGAGACAGACAATAAAATAAAATTTAAAATAGCTACAGTTCACCAATCATTTCATTAAATATTCAGAAAAATGTATCTTTTTAAATATTTGCTAAAGCTTGGCAAAGCTAGTTGGCGTGTGTCGTCCACATTAAGTATGACAGACAATAAAATGAAACTTTCTACCATACACTATTACTTTTTTTTTTTCCTAACGAGGTTTGTAGTGCAGCCACTCGACTATACTATATAAACTGCTCCTTTTCTGGTCTTGACTATAAGTCATGGTAGTGACATAATCACCCCTCTTAACTTTCTTGCAATCAGTGTCAGGAATTGATAAGATCTTTTTCCTGGTAATCAAAGCTCTGTTCCTTGACAGTTCAGATACATTTATATCACTCAGGACATCTCGTTGTGTGCTTTTAAAGCTGTAGCCCCCCCACCCCCACAAAAACTGTTTCTTGAATCTGAATATTTGCTGAATTTCTTAGTCATCTATGATAAACGGATATCTTTGTTTTGTACCACTGGTTGAACAAAAATGTTAGCTTAGGCTTTAGGAAATAGTGGTGGACATTTCTTCCTATGTTCTGATGCTCTATAGACAAATCGTCTTCAGTTGATAAGGCAAGTAACTGGACTGACTCTAGGTTATGCTTTTAATTTGAAGTGCATCAATTGAGCACATTTCTAATAACTCAGTTCCAAATTACATATTTTTTTCTAGAAAATCTGTTATTTGGAAATTACAGACTAGCACATTACCAAGATTTTATCATCAATAGTTTAGTTTAATCTGGAGTTATTAATTTACGGATCCCTCTAACAGCCTTACCTGTGTGTGATTTCCTCCCCAGCTGTCTGTCACCATGGTAATGCAGGTGGTAATCCCCCCTACAGTGTCGGCATTGGTCTCCACCACATTGTCCCTGATCAGCTTGAGTCTGCTGCTGCTGCTCTGTGTCATCAGGAAGAAAAGGAGGATGGAGGGAACATACAGGCCCAGTGCAGAAGAGAGGAAACAGACAGGAGCAGCAGGACCTGAAAAACCTGGCCTACCTTTACCGTTGCCCAAAGAAGAACGCCTCATATGACACAAGTGGCCTCACAGCCCTTCATCCCCATGTCACAAACCTCTGGATTGATTCCTGCCGCTGCGGCGCCGCCTTCCTCTGGGATGATCCATGTTTGTCCTTTGCACCAGAAAACCTGAGACACACTAAACACTGTGCTGCACCTTGTCATTCCCGGTGACAACCAATAGACTATTAGTTCTGTCACCTGTTTCACTGCATGAAAAGAGGAAATATATTATGAGCATGAGAGGTTTGCTCACTGCTATTATGCCCTTACCTTGACAAGTCACTCCCTTTATTCTGCCTCATAAGAAACATGAGCTTAAGTATATTTTGTATTTGTACAGATGTTAGTCTATTTTTTATTGTATTGTGCATTTTTATATGAAAAATGCACTCATGAAGGATGCTAAGTTTCATAGAAAACATAAAAGCCACTGTGTATGCTACACAAGGGGTTTTGTTAATAAAGCAGGAATCTGCACACCAGGTACTACTGCT